AAGAAATGTATCTTTCTGTTTGTAATAATATGGCCACAGACAGCGATGCCCTAGCAAGAAAGTTTAGGAAGTGGCTTCAACTCGTACTTCTGCTGAAAGGAACAACCATCTGCCCGTTCACATGGGATGCAGTTCTTTAGTTTTGTGCAACCTGTGCCCAAGCCTTGGTCCCTGTGGGAATGTGAAACCCCAATAGCCACACTCCCAGCTTTCCCAGGACCTAGAAAAGGAGGGCATTTGCAGGCAGGACAAGGGGAGGGTCCTGCCATCTTTGATCCTGAGCCTCCAGAAGGAGTGTGAGGGGTGCCGGTGCCCTCCGAGGGTCCCCCTGGGCCCGGGTTGCATGTGGAGGAGAAAACCCTGCTCCGGCACTTACGCTGGGGCAGGCGTCCTCCCCCTGCTGCCCGACCAGGATGTACAGCGTGTCGTCCTTCTCCAGGTTGAAGATGCCCAGCACAGACACGCCGTGGGACCGCATCATGGTGTTCCTCCCGCCTTTCCCGCCGGCAGCTCCGTAGCCCGAGATGCTGCAATGGACAAAGCACATGGGCTTCTGCCATGGGGTGAAGCCTGACTCCCCCCTGCCCACCCGGCACCCCCAGTGGGCCAAGCGCATCCCCACGTTGGTCCTCATGGTTCTCCCCTGCAGCAGCCATGAGGTGAGCAAGGAAGGTCCTCCCCTCCCCCAAGTCGGGAGAGGGCAGTAGAGAGGGACAGTGAGGTGCCTCATTAGCAGAGCTTGGAAGGTGAAGGACTAGTAAAGGGTGCAAGAAAGAATGAGAGGGGAAAGGAGGGGGCGGGAGGAGAGAGAGGACAGGGAGGGTTTGTGTTAACACGGGGTGCTGGGGGAGGGCGTTCTGAGTACCTGGGATTTCCCCATCATGGATTTACCTCCTTGTCCAAAATCAAAGGACTCACATGACCTTAGACAAGGAACTTACCATCCCTGTTCCACATCTGTAAAATGGGATAATAGAGCACCCAGCTTCTAGCCCCTGTGTGTGGTCAGGATTAAGGGAATTAGTACATGCAGTCTTAGACTTGTGGCTGGCACCTAATAAGCACTCAAAAATATTTATTATTATTGTTATTAATGGTGGAATTAGCAGGGGCTGACTTGGTAGAAAGTTTAAAGTCTCCCCATGGGGAGGCAGAAGGAAGGCTTATTAGTGAAAGGAAAGCGAGGAGAATTGTTTAGCTCAGAGAAGGGAAACCTGGGGCAGAGGGGGTGCTGCTGGTGGTGGGGTTTCAGGGGCGATCTGTGTGGAGTCCTGAGTTAGCCGTGTGGACCGCCGCCTCTGTCCTGGGGCTTTGCCAGGTTGCTCAAGAAAGTCCTTTCAGCGGAACGTGTGGTTTGCTTGGAAAACTGTTGCCTGGGACAGAGTCCCATCCTGCCCCTTCCTGCTTATGGTCGAGAGGTAAGCTGTGTCCTTCTCGTTATTTTCAGCATCATTTGCATCAATCTGCATGCATTATGAATCCTTCTGAATTTTTTCACCTGTTTAAATTTAGCCAAATTATTATATTTTGTATGTTGTTTATTCCTGACATGGTTTTCCCCTCCCTAAGCCATCTTTCTTATTTCTCCCACCCCCAACCCGATCTGCATGTCAGCCTCATCCAGGTCTTGACCTCGTGCTGGGTAATGGGGTGGGATGGAAAGAGCCTCTACTGTGTGACTTGCGGCAACTTGCTTAACCTCTCTGAACCTTACTTTCACCCCAAGGAGAAAAATGAGGACAAGGACCCCTGCCCTCCTGGGGATAAGAAGTGCATTTGGAAGATGACAAACTGATGGCAAGTTCAGGGTAGGGCTTGGGGCTGGGCCCGCTCTGTAGATTCCAAAGCAGGCAGAGGGCTTGATGAGCAGGTGTCAACAGCTGAGTTTGCTTTCTTGTGTGATGGCCTCGGCCCCACAGTTTTAACCTGGACTGTGGACTTGCTGAAAGCCCTGGGGAGCAGACAGCCGCCTGTCTGGACTAACTGCAGGGGCCCTGGGAGGCTGCCTCCATCACCAGCCCTCTGAGGGCTGAAACCCCACCACGGAGCTCACTCCTCTGCAAGCTCCCAGCTGCCACTACAAGGCGATCGCCTCTGGAGCAGGATGTGCCACAGTGAAGAAAGCGGGGCTCGAAGGCAGCCAGACCTGGAAGCAAACACAAGCTGTGACGCAGGGCCAGGACTAGGGTGCGGCAAGAGAGGCACCTCCCTGGTGCCAACCCTGTCTGTGCTCAAGGGACCTGGAGAGCCAATGCCTCCTCAGATTTTGTGTCCAAGGCACCTTGCTTACCCTCGCCCTGGCCCTGGCTGTGCCAGTGCAACTGTGTGGCCTTGGGTAGCTTATTTACCCTTGCTGATCTCCAGTTTCCTCATCTATATAAGGGCGATACTAAGGATTGTTGTGAGATTTAAATGAGATAATGCCTGTGAGGGACCTAACTCAGTGCCTGGAGGGCATAGCCAGGGAGGGACAAACAGCAGCTTCTGCTCTGATGTAGCCCATGGCTGAGCCTGTCCACACCTCTCCAGGGGGTGACTTCTGGGAGGCAGAGAGTGAAGGAGCCCCTGATTTCTAGAGAGCAATGGGAGAGCAGGGTGTGGCCAAGGGGTCAGGGCTGTGGCCAAGGGGTCAAGGCTGTTCACTGTAGAGAGCCGGGGCACAGGCCAGCCTTGGCCTCTCTGAAGACCCCCGACCCTACGAATGGTGCCACACAAACTTGTGTGGGAGTGATAGCCTCAGCTGGAGTCTCGGAAGCTTTCTCCCCCCTGCTGTGCTCAGTTTATTTTTGATGGTTGACAAACGACAAATTAATTTACCTGCCACTCAAATGCGGACTCTGACTCGCAGCCATTCCAATTTCCTGGAAATTATAAGATACTGTTCTCAACAAGCTGAGGCTGTGTTTTTCCCCTCAGCTAAGTCCATGGCCCCCGGTCGAAATGGATGTTTATTAGGTTTGTGTTTTGTGTTATTGACTGTGAGCTATTGTTACCTGCTGTAATTGAGTTGTGAATCTTTTTAAAATAAAGAATTAGCAGCAAATCAAAGCGGCTGCCTGCTGGATGCTGAAACAAGAGCACAGCTGGCTGTAGCGCGAAGGCTGCGTGGACTCCACACCCCAAGGGGAGCTGGGCGGGGTGGGGGGGAGGAGGGAGTCGACCCCACTTGAATGAGCATGGAGCACCTCAGTCTCTCCTGCACCCCACTCTGGGCTCCACCTCTAATTCCCAGCGGGGCCTTGGGCAGGCCCTTTCCCTCCTCTGAGTCTCCAGTTCCTTCCTCCGGGAATCAGGATGGAAGACCTGCCCTGCCTGTCCTCGCCCACAGGAGGCCAATGAGTGTGCGCAGAGCAAGCGGGTCGGTGGGAAATGCCTGTCAGGTGCAGTCAGATGACCCGGACAGGTCATTTGAGCCACCAGGAGACACCCCTGGGGTCAGCGGTGAAGGCCAATTGTTAAGGTACCTGCTCCTCGCTGTTCAGTTCTAGTCCAGATGGCACCCGTGAGCAAGGTGCGCTTCTTCCCTACGGCCCACCAGACCAGGGCAGCCCTACGCCCTACACCCGGGAATATCCGAGCTGGAGGAGATCTCAGCCACTCTCTACAACCCAGCCTCCTCCAGATGGGCTGAGCCTGAAAACACTTGCTCAGAGGGGGAAGCACACTTTCAAGGTCGCATGGTGTACGGGGCAGAAATTAGACCCAAACTGCATTCTGCCTGCAGCCCATCAATCTCTGCACAGTCCCCCTCTCCTGACTTGCCCTGCTCTGTGCTCTCATGGCGATGGCTAGCCGCACGATTAGGCTGACAATTAATCACGACGTGCCACTCTCTTCTATAATTGTCTAGAACTTTACTGGTATTGTGGACTGTTATTTAACCTTCCTCCCTGTGGTCTTTCCAAAGACTGTGGCACTCCAGAGTCTCAGTCCTCTCTGTAAGTCCCACAGCACCTACTCAGTGCCTGGCACACAGTAGGAGCCCCAGGGCTGTCTGTGGATTGGGTGGAATGATGGTGTCACCCAGCTGCACATGCTGGTCCCTCGAGCCAGGTGAGGAAATGAGTGTCAGTGATGGAGACCGTCAGAAACAGCTGTGGCCCAGGTCAGCTGGCAGGATGGCTGGCTCCAGCTGGGATCTGGGGCCTCTTGTACATTATGTCTGAGGAACAAGTGGACCATGAGAGAACTGCCACCAGGAGCTGTGGGCTGTGCCTGACAAATGCTTTTATAGGCGACGTGTGTGTGTGTGTGTGTGTGTGTGTGTGTGTGTGTGTGTGTGAAGTGGGGGAGGACTGAGGGCTGGGAAGGATGCTGAGGCCTGGAGAGGTAGGAAGGAAGAAAGGAAGGAAGGAAGGAAGGAAAGAAGGAAGGAGGAAGGAAGAGGAGAATGAGGAGGGAAGAAAGTCTGGAAGAGTGAGAGATGGCTGGCCCACATCCACAGATGTGGACTGTGTCTGCGTGGAGACATCATGCACAGATAACACTGAATCCCCAGCAGTCCTCGGAGCCAGGCAGTGTTGGCATCGTCTCCATTATACAGGGAGGCTGAGGCTCTCACCCACCCCAGCACGTACCCCATAATCGATGCTTTTGCTGTGAGCCACTTTACCCCCCTTCCCCCATGGGCACACTCTAGATGTGGTCACTCAGAACCTCGACCCAGAACTTTCCCTTAAGCAGGTGCTCTTCTCGCCATTACCGTTATCCTGGCCTGTCGTCTTAATCAAGCTCCTAGAGACGAAGTATCGGTCACTCATTGTCTTGGCTTCCTCAGCCCCCCAAGCAAGGCTGTCATCCAGCACTGCCTCCTCCCCAGTCCTCTAATTGTGCCAGTTTACCTCCTAAATGCTTCCTGGCCCTGCACCCTCCCTCCTCTGATTTCCCCTGCCCTGGTGCGGCCCTTTCTAACTCTTGCCTGGGTGACCCTCAGCCTTCCATCTGCTCTCTGTGTCTCTAGGCTTGTTTCTCTCTCTGCCACCAGAGGGAGCTAACAGGTAGCTAACGGCATTTGCCAGGTGGGGCTCCGGCCCCAGGGCCAGAGCTGGTAGGTGGCCTTGCCCCAGGTACTCCTTCCACCAGGAGGCCTCCCCTCTTCTTTGCAGACAATGCCGATTGCCTTCGAGACTTAGCCTGTTTCCTGTGGAAGCCACTCCTGCACCCAGCCTTTCCCTAGCCTCCGGCTGCAGTGCTTGTGCGAACCTCCGCGGTGGTATTGCTGCACCCACCAGCCCCATGAGCTGGGCTCCTCTCGGCAGGGTTGCAGCGTGTTCGCCTTTGTACCTTAGTGTCAGGCACAGTGTCCTGACAGGTGC